GCAAGAAAGGAGATTCCAGGTTGGAGATTTGACCTACTTACTGCCTTGAGCTCAGGGGCCTCTTATTCTAATTATGAAGCATTCTTTGGTATTAGGTGGACAGGAATTCGAAGACAACATTGGTTTGTTATTAAAGTTCCTTGTGCTGCCCTGGCTGGTGTGGCTCCGCTGGTTGGGTGTCGTCCCACGCACAGAAGGGTCACCAGTTCAATTCCCGGTAAGGCCGCATGACCAGGTTGTGGGCTCGATCCCAGTCAGCGTGTGTGCGGGAGGTGGTCAATCGATGTTTCTCTCTCACATCGATGTTTCTCTCTAAACAAGAAAATCAATAAAATCATATTTTAAAAAAACTCCGTGTGCCTGTGCACGAGCTATTCTGAGAAGCGGGACTGCTGAATCACTGGCAATGTGCATTTCATTTTTTACTTTTTATTTATTTATTTTTCTGAATGTGGGTCCTTGAAATGAGGCCTTTTATCTTTGGATGGTCAGCAAAGCTTCCTTCGGACTTCAGGCACACTGAAGTGTCAGCAGAGGGGCGGGTCAGCAGGGGACAGGAGAAGGGCTGTGGGTGCTGACCATTTCTTTGAGGGGAGGAGAGCGGCCACAGAACAGAGTACCATTGGCTTTGCTATGCTGAATAAAGAAAAGAGGGGGTGCTCAGCACAGATCCTGGGGGTGACTCTTGCACATCGAAGCATCACTCTGGCAGCAGTGGCAGCTTCGGCCTCCGTGCCTTCCTCGTTGACCTCCGCAAAGGGCTCGCGCATGACCTTGGAGAGAAACAGGTCTCTCCCAGGCAGCATTCCAGAAAAGTCCACCCTGTCTTGCGCAAAGGCATTGGTCATGCCCAGAGAGCGCAGGACGTCCTTCACGTTGTGATTCTCCTCCGTTTAAATCTAGGGAGGAGCACCTCCACCTCTGCCTCACCCATTGCATCTGGCCTGGTCCATCCCATGAATTTCTCACAAGTAAGTTTCTGTCCCCCCATTTCCAGGTCGACATTTCATCAGAAACCACGATGATCACATTCAGCTCTTTGCTGACAGGCAGCACGAGGGTTTTGGTGAATATTCCTCCTGTGTAGGTCATATTAAAGGTAGATTTCTTGCACATCGTTTGCACAGATTTCTTCTCCTTCTTGTTGACTTTAAATGGTCTTTCCTTGCTCTGCTGTTTGTTGACCTGATTGTCCAAGTTCCTTTGAAGTATATGGTATTCACGAGACCCAGACAAGCAACTTGATTAACTAAATTTGAAGACAGCAATTCTGTAATTTTACCCTCTGTCCTGTTAGCTACCCAGGCTGATGTGTTTTCTGGCCTCCTCTGCAGCTCCGAAGAAGTTGAGCCCTTCCATCTCCGCTTGGTGAATTTGCAGCAGAAATCTTTGGAAGATGAGTTGAAATCATAAGACTTTTTCCTAAAGAACCTGTTGGCAGTTCTAAGCGAGTTCTTTGTGCCAGTCCTGTTAACTTCGGGGAGAAGCGATCGGAAGCCCTGTGGACATCTTCGCCTCCACCACCTCTCTTTCTTTCTTTCTTTCTTTCTTTCTTTCTTTCTTTCTTTCTTTCTTTCTTTCTTGCTTGCTTGCTTGCTTGCTTGCTTGCTTTATTTATTTATTTTATCCTCACCAGAGGACATTTTTCCATTTTTTGTTCAGGTAGAGTGGGAGGGAGAGAGAGGAAGAGAGAGAGTGAGAAACATCGACGTGAAAAGGACACATCGAGTGGCTGCCACCCGCACGACCAACCAGGGCCAGAAACAAACTGCAACGGAGGTACGTGCCCTTAGTGGGAACCGAACCCAGGTCTCTCTGGACCACAGGCCGACACTCTAACCACTGAGAAAAACCGGCCAGGGCTCCACCACCACTTTTATTTAAAGAAAGTGCCTGGGCCCAGCCGGTGTGGCTCAGTGGTTGAGCATCAACCTATGCACCAAGAGGTCACCAGTTTGATTCCTACTCAGGGCACATGCCCAGGTTGTGGGCCAAATCCCCGGGGCGGGGGGCATGCAGAAGGCAGCTAATCGATGTTTCTATCTCTCTCCCTCTCTCTCTAAAATCAATAAAGAAAAAAATTAAGAAAAAAAAAGAGTGTGCCTGGGCCATCTGGGCTGTGGTGTTCCCCTTTGCCCCATGAGGACCGTGGCCAGGGCAGAGGAGATGCTCATGGGCGAGAAAGCACATTTTTCAAGTTGTCTTCAGCAAGCTTTTTCAAAAGGTTTAAGGAAAAAGTGCCATTTGCTTCCAACAGACTATCCCCAAGGGCGAGTCCCAGAGTGTCGGCGACGCAGCCGGAGTGAGCGGAGCAGCGGCAGCGGGAATGTGCATTTAACATTTTAATAGCGATAGATACGTTATTCTCCCCCCAAAACTATAAAAGTACCAAATCTAATTAAAAAGTGGCAAAAGTGCTGGACAGACACCTCACCAAGAAAAATATGCAGATGGCAAATAAGCTCACGAAAAGATGCTCCACATCATATAGCATCAGAAAAATGCAAATTAAAGCGACAATGGGATACTACTACACACCTATTAAAGCGGCTAAAATACCGAACGCTGGCAACACCAAATGCCAGCGAAGGTACAGAGCAAGAGGAACTCTCATTCATTGCCTCTGGAACTGCAAAGTAGGAGAGTCACTTTGGAAAACAGTTTGGTATTTTCTTACTAAGCTAAACACAGTCTTACCATATAATCCAGCAATTATATTCTTAGGTAATTCACACAAAAATCTGCATGCAAATATTTGTAGCAGATTTATTTATAATTGCCCAAAAGTGGAAGCAAACCGAGATGCACTTGACTAGGTGAATGGGTAAATTGAGAGTGTACACCCATATAACGAAACACTTTTCGGTGAAAAACAGAAATGAGCTATGAAGCCACAGAAAGCCATGGAGAACCATTACGTGCATACAACTAAGGAAAAGAAATAAACCTTATGATCTTAACTATAGGACATCCTGGAAAAGGCAAAGGGAGAGAGAGAGTGGATGCCTGGGATTGGGCAGGGAGAGGAGGAGGAATGAGTAGGTGGAACACAGGGATTATTATTAGATCGGTGAAACTATTCTGTATGATACTGTATAATATGGTGGATACATAAAATTATGCATTTGGCAAAACCCATAGAACCGTATAACACAAAGAGTTAACCCTAATGTGAACTATGGGCTTTAGTTATAATGATAATGAGATAGCAGTACTGGTTCATCAATTGTAACGAATGTACCCCACCACCATCCGATAAGGAAAACTGGTTGGAGAAAAGGAGTATATGGGAACTGTGTACTTGCTGTTCAGTTTTTTTGTAATTCTAAAGCTGCTTTAAGAAATAAAGTTTATTTTTTATTTTATTTTTTATTAATTTTTGTTAATTAATAAAACAGATGTTAAAGTTTGTTCTACTGTTATTTTTATTGATGTTTAGAGAGAGAGGAAGGAGAGGGTGAGAGAGAAACACTGATGTGGAAGTGGAACATTGGTTTGGCTGCCTTGCTCTCTACTGGGGATGGAGCCTGAAACCCCGGCATGTGCCCTGACTGGGAACTGAACCAGCAACCTTTCAGTGCACAGGACAATGCTCAACCAACTGAGCCACACCAGCCAGGTCAAGAAATAAAGTTTATTAATTAATATAATAAAAAAATGTACAGACTCATCAAGAGTATGTACCTTTATAGTACCTTTGTTTTCACTATTTGGTAAAGAGTTTCGACAAATGTTCAATCTGATGACTCCAGCTTGATATTTTCTTTTTTTTTTTTTATCCTCACCTGAGGATATTTTTGCATTTTATCTTCAGAAAGAACAGGAGGGAGAGGGAGAAAGAGAAACATCGATGTGAGAGAGACACATCCACTGGTTGCCACCCACCCAACCCCAACTGGGGCCAGGGACAAACTGCAATTGAGGTACATGCCCCCAGCGGGAACTGAACTCAGGACTTTTAGGTCTGCGGGCCGATGCTCTAACCACTGAGCAAAACTGGCCAGGGCTATTTTATTATTATTATTACTATTTTCTTTTTATTTTTTATCTTCACCTGAGGACATTTTTGCATTTATCTTGAGATAGAGCGGGAGGGACAGAGGGAGAAAGAGAGAGAGAAACATTGATGTGAGACACATTGAGTGGCTGCCACCCACATGACCCCAACCGGGGCCGGGGACAAACTGCAACCGAGGTACATGCCCTTAGCGGGAACTGAACCCGGGTCTCTCCGGACCGCAGGCCAACGCTCTAACCGCTGAGCCAAACGGGCAAGGGCCTGGTCAATTCTTTTATGTGCTCTGACCGGGGATTGAACCTACAACCTTGGCTTATCAGTATGATGCTCTAACCAGATGAGCTACTCAGCCATGGCCTCATGTTTCCTTATTATAAATCACTTGTTCTGTCCTTGGCCTGTGGAAGTTTTAAAAACCTGCTTATTCTTTTTTTTTTTTACATGTTGCAAATACTTTCTCATAATCTGTCATTTTTGAATTATGGTCTTTTGTCCACAGAAAGTTTTAATCCTCACCCGAGGACATTTTTCCATTTTTTGTTCAGGTAGAGTGGGAGGGAGAGAGAGGAACAGAGAGAGAGAGAGAAACATCGATGTGAAAGGGACACATCGAGTGGCTGCCACCCGCACAACCCACCAGGGCCGGGGACAAACTGCAACGGAGGTACGCGCCCTTAGCGGGAACCGAACCCGGGTCTCTCAGGACCGCAGGCTGACGCTCTAACCGCTGAGCCAAACCGGCCAGGGCTCCACAGAAAGTTTTAAATTTTGAAGGAGCTTGGCCTGGAAATGTGCTTCTGGGGAGATGTGATCCGAGCCAGACCTCAGATCAAGCCCATTCCTCCTGATTCTCCCAGCTGAACCCAGAGTTCTCTGCTCCAGGGTGTCCGTGAAGGCTCCTTTCAGGCATGTTTAGAAACTGGCACAGCTTTATCTAATGGGATGACCCTGGCTAAGGAGCTTAGCAAGATGTCGTGTGGATCCCACTTCTAATCTGCAGCGTTCAGGCTGTCCCTTCTTGGCTGGGAAGGGAGCTGCAGAAACGACACTGAGGACTGGCCCCTTCGAGAGCTGTGCCTACTGAGCTAACGGGGGTCTCAGGCTAGGGGGCGTCAACATGGGCCACCCCCAGAGCAGCTCCCTGCAGCTTGGATTGTCTGCACCCTTTCCGAGGCCCTGAGTCGTCAGGCCCCGGGCTCATCAAGGTCCCGAGTGGGAGCCGCGCTGTGGGAGGCTGCCCAGACCGCACCTGCAAACATGGCGCTGCTGAAAATCAAGTTTGACCAGAAGAAGCGGGTCAAGTTGGCCCAAGGGCTCTGGCTCATGAACTGGCTCTGCGTGTTGGCTGGCATCGTCACCTTCAGCCTAGGGCTGTTCCTGAAGATCGAACTCCGGAAGAGGAGCGACGTGATGGACAGTTCAGAGAGCCACTTTGTGCCCAACTCCTTGATAGGGATGGGAGTGCTGTCCTGTGTCATCAACTCTCTGGCTGGCAAGATCTGTTATGATGCCCTGGACCCTGCCAAGTATGCCAAGTGGAAGCCCTGGGTGAAGCCATACCTGGCCGCCTGCGTCCTCGTCAACGCTGTCCTCTTCCTGGTGGCCCTCGGCTGCTTCCTCCTGCGGGGCTCCCTGGAGAGCACCCTGGCGCACGGGCTCAAGAGCGGCATGAAGTACTACCGGGACACAGACACGCCCGGCAGGTGCTTCATGAAGAAGACCATCGACATGCTGCAGATCGAGTTCAAGTGCTGCGGCAACAACGGCTTTCGGGACTGGTTTGAGATTCAGTGGATCAGTAACCGCTACCTGGACTTCTCCTCCAAAGAAGTCAAAGAGTGAGTGGCCCCCAGTGCCAGGGTGGGAGCTATAGGGGGACGTGGGAGCCCAGTGTCTTTCCCTCCCCTTTGGGTGGTCTCTGTGCACAGCTTGTTACTGTGCATGTGAGGCTGCATTTGGTTGGACCTCGTGGCATTGCTGATGTTCTAACATTTGACCTATAGTGATGGCAACTTCATTGGGCTCAACCTAATGCTTGGCTGTGCTGGGAGGAAGGTGTCAAGTTACATAAGCTTCTGCGACAGGAGTCCCCAGGGAGGAAGGCCCAGCCAGGAGTGTGTCTGCTTCGTTCAGCAGAAGTTCTGTATTCGTGTAGAACACACAGGCTGAGATGGTATCTGCCGACTTGCTCACTCACTCAGAGTACAGGAAGCTCCCATTTCCTGGTTAATTCCTTTGTTTTCCCGCCTTTGGATCCTGAGCATCTACTCTCAGTGTTTGTCCTTGGGTGTGCTGGACAGAGCAGAAGACAGGGCAGCCAGGAGACTAGGCTGTGGTTTTGGCTCTGCTGTTAATGGTGACCATGGGGAAGTCACTTGCCCGCTGGGCCCTTGATGGCCCAACTTTTAAGTAAAGACACTGGAATAATCTTGGAGGTCACCTCCTAGCTTTGTCTAGAGCCAGGCATACAGCAGGTACTCATTAAATGTTTACTTCTTAAATCATAGCAGTGCAACACGATTAAGTGTTTCTAAAGGATTGGCATGTGTAAACATAACCCCCTGAGGTGGGATGTCAGGAGGTGTTGGTGAGGAAGAGAACCCTGCCCTTTGAGCAGAGAGTCAGCATCCCGCTCTCCCGGTACGCCCCGTCCCGGGTCTCCCGGTACGCCCCCTCCCGCTCTCCCAGTACGCCCCCTCCCGCTCTCCCGGTACGCCCCCTCCCGGGTCTCCAGTCATTTCCAGGGACAGGCAGCCTGCCCCGAGCCTCTTCTTTCTGTCCAACTCTCCCTGTTCCCTAGCCGAGCGAGCGGTTCAGTTGATTATCTAGGTTGGTGCTTCTGGGAGGCTGGCGAGTCCGAAGGGACTGGCACACAGGGTGCCGGGCACATTGGCAGCAGGCCATGGTTGAAACCCAGACAACAGCACTAACAAACCCCAGAAGGCTGCACCTCAGACAGAAGGGAAGTCGGATTGAAGGTCACTGCTGGGATTTTCTCTGTGGGGAGGGATTACTGCGACAAATCCCTAGTCAAGGGGAGACTTGACACTGCTCTGCCCTTCCTAGGTGACAGGTCTGCAGGGACAGCGTAGGGAGGCTCGGTCTGTATAAGAGGACCAGGAGGTGGCAGCCGGAGGGACAGGGCAGGGAGGAGGATGCTGATGGCAGAACCAGGCTTGGTGGGCAGACAAGGGGCTTTTCATTTCCCCTGTCATTTTCCTTGATTGCCTCCGCACAGGGTCAGTCCTTAAAGAGACGTTAAAATCTCCGTAATCCCCAAATCCCCTCTTGTCCCAGAGGACAGAGATTCTCCAGGTTGTTCCGCTCCCAGTGGTCAGCATGTCCAAATTTTCAGGCAAATCTTATGCTCAATGCCACATACCGACTTTAGATTTAGGAAAAATATCCCTGTTACACAAAAAATATGGGGACAACATTAAGAGAAACAAAAACAGGAAAAGAAATTCAAATCAGATTCTCATCCATAACTAAGCATCACTGGCTTTAATTTTTTTTCACATTTCATTCTAGTCTCATTAACGTCTACATAATGTTAGTGTATCCACGGTATAGTTACAACCGAGTGCGCCATTTTGCAATTTAATAGTATAATCTTTGCATAATGTTCAAAACGATCACCCCTCCCCCAGCATCAACATATAATTAACAAATAACATTGTGTAAGTTTAAGGTGTACATTGTGTTGGTTTGATATATTTATATATTCCAAAATGATTACCACATAGCCTTAGCTGACACCTTCATCATATCATATAATTACCATTTCTTTTTTGTAGTGAGGACATTTAAGATGTACTCTCTTAACATTTTTTTTTGTGTGTGTGCAACTTTCTAGTATATTACACAGTACTGTTAACTACAGTCACTATGCTGTCCATTAATCCCCAGAATTTGGTGCCCTTTGGCCAAAATCTTCCATTTCCCCTGGCCCCTGGCAACTGCCATTCTGTCTGTTCTATGCATTCTGGTTTTTAAGATTTCACATATAGGTGGAATCATACAGTATTTATCTAAAAAGATTATGATTAAAGGTTGCATAATATTCCACTGAACGAGCAGACACACGTAGGCAGGCATTGAGGTGTCCTTATTTATTCCTGTTATAAATAGCACTGAATGGGCCTCTTTGAGGTTTTGCCTTCTCTCTGTCTCTGTTTCTCTCCCACATCCTGGAGGCTAAATTTCTAGAAATGGAACTTAGAACTGAAATCCTTTCTTCTCCTTTCTGAAACCTCCAATGACAGTCCCACCCCTGTGCTGCCAAGGGCACAGCCTGACAGGGTCACTGTGACAGAGAGGACTGCGTCATCATTTCCCACGAACTTTATAATCAGTGATCCGGGAACAATACCTGTGAGCGCAGCGAAGCTCCCCGAGGCCCAGCACGGCCCAGCCCTTACCTGTCGTGGAAGAAGGAACGAGGGAATGAATGAATGAAGAGCATTGGAACATGGCCCTTTTCACTTCCCCTGCTGGAACACCAACAAGTGTTTCTGTTCACATCTTGACTGCTTCACTTAGGAGGATTATTAAGTTTCCCTGACAAAGCTAGCTCTCAAAATAGAAAGTGCATTTATTTTTTTGAGATACCCAAACGCTGAGAAGTGGTCAGCATTTACCTTTCTTCTGGCCTTTCTCAGCAGCATCCTCTGGGCTGGAGTTCTGAGGCAGCAGAGGCAGAGAGCGGGGGTGGGGGGGAGCAGGGCGAGGGGGCAGTGGTATCTTTACTGCGATCTTTCCAGCTCTATTTAATTTAGAGAGAGAAAGAAGAGGGGAGAAAGAGATCAGTTGCCTCCCACACAAGCCCTAACTGGAGATGGATGTGCCCTGACCGGGAGCTGAATGTGTACGGGATGACGCTCCAACCCACTGACACACACTGGCCAGGACCACCAAGATCTTTTTAAAAAGGAATTCTCCTTTTCCCTTCCCTACCAAATTTGCACGAGCCAGCAAAAGCCTTGACCCTCAGGACTGGGAGGTAATCCCAGGAGCAGTGAGTTCAAAGGGTAGGAAGTCTGGAAGAGTACATCACGATCCTCCAGCGACACGGGTATTGGGCGTGGGCAGCGTCCAGTGCCTGTGATCCGGTCGTGTCTGCTGGCCCTGGAGCACCTCTCTCCTTTCGGGGCTATGTACCGCTCATTGGTCTAGGCTAGAGAAAGGTGAGGTGCACCCCCAGCGTTTCCTGTCCAGTTCCCGGGAGGAGCAGCTGGGTTCCTTCTCCAATCCTGCACGGGTTCCCCTCCACGGAGCTCCCGACCTCAGCAAGCATGGGGGGGGGGGGGGGCAGGACGGTAGGGTTGGCTGGTTTTTGGAGATTTCTCAGGGAATCTTGAAGATGAAGGACTATTTCCTAAAGGCCCCAATCTAAACGATGAGATCAGGTAGGAACAATTAGAGACTTTTTGCAGGAATGTACAAGCTTTTTGCCCCACCTCCCTCTCCCCGTCCCAGGCAAGTAGCCCTGTGGGGGCCCTTCACATCCAGCCTGCCCAGCACTATGTTGCCAGATAGTTTGGGAGGGAAAAATGGCCTCATTTATTCTGTATAAAACCTCTCCGGGCGTGAGTTGTAATCTCTATTTTATAGATGAGAAATCTGAGTCTCAGAGATTAAGAGACATGCCTAACACCTCACAGCAAGAAGGGGGCGGGGGTGAGGGTGGGTAGCATTAAAAAACAAAAAACAGCCCTGGTCGGTTTGGCTCAGCAGTTGGAGCTTCAGCCCACGGTCTGGAGACCTGGGTTCGGATCCCATGGGGGAGTGCGTGCCATGGTTGCAGTTTGTCCCCGCCCCGGTTGGGGTCCTGTGGGAGGCGGCCACTCAATGTGTCTCTTTCACTTTGATGTTTCTCTCTCTTTTTCTCCCTATCTCCCTCTTGCACTGTCTGGTGACTGTGGGGGTGTCCTCAGGTGCAAATTAAGAAAAAAAAAAAAGGAAAAAAAAACCCAAAAAACAGTTTTGTTGCCCTGGCCAGGTAGCCCAGCTGGTTAGAGCATTGTCCAGATACACCAAGGCTGTGGGTTCCATCCCTGGTCAAGGCATATACAAGAAGCAACTAATGAATGCACACATCAGTGGAACAACAAATCAGTGTTTCCCTCTTCCTTCCTCTCTCTAAAACCAATAAATTAAACAAAAGCTTTATTGAGATATAATTCACGTAACATACACCTCGCCCATTTGAAGCGGGCACCTGGGTCGTTTCTGGCACATCCGCAGAGTTGTGCAGCCAATCCCAGTCAGTTTCAGAACATTCCCATCACTTCGAAGAGAAGCCCAGTCTTCACCTTCACTCCCAGCCTCCCCTGACCCATCCCTTGGAGCCTCTAATCTACTTCCTGCCCCCGTGGCCTTTCCTGTTCTGGACCCCCCCTTTGAATGGGATCAGGTACTTCTTGTCCTTTGGGTCTGGCTTTCCCCCCTGGGCGTGATGCTCTCAGAGTTCACCATGCAGCGTGTCGGACTTCACTCCTCGGTAGGTCTGAGCACAAAGCCCACCGTGCGGAGTGCCAGGGGTATTCCTGCTCTTCTGTCCTCCTGTGCCTGCTCTCCAGGGATGTTAGGGTGCACCTTGTGCACACTCGGTGGTAAATCAGACTGCCTGAGCCTGGGATTCTCCGGGCCACTTTGGGGGCAGGGTGGGGACGGTGCCTCATCGCCCTCCCTCCCTCTGTCTTTCTCTGCCTTGTTCCTTCTCCACTTCCTCCTCCGAGGGGCAGTGGACAGCGTTGGCAGAGACACTACAGGCTCCTAATAACACCTGGGGTTGTGGTTGGATTCCAGTGCTTCGTGCCAGGGTCTCGGATGAGCAGGAGGCAGCCCCCAGAGAACAGAAACAGGCTTCTGCACCTGGGGCTGTGCTCTAACCTCCCTTCTGTGTTTACCTTCTCCCCCGCTCCCCAGCTTGGCGGGGGCAGGGCAGACACTCTGTTATAACTGGGGGAGGCCCTCGGAGGGAAGAGCTGAGTCCCAGAACGCAGCCTCCCTCAGCAACTCCCAGTCTTCAGAGCAAGGTCTCTGGGGAAGGACTTGTAGCTCTTGACCAGTGCTTTTATTTTTTTACATTTTCAATTTTTTGTTAATCCTTACCCGAGGATATTTTGCCATTGACTCTTTAGACAGAGTGGAAAGAGGGAAGGGAAGAGAGAGAGAGAGGGGGAGAGAGAGAAATAGTGATGCGAGAGACACGCTGACTAGTTGCCTCCGGCACGACCTCTGCTGGTGCTGGGGATTGAACGTGCAATCCAGGCACGTGCCCTGACCGGGAATCAAACCTGGGATTCCGCAGGCTGGTGCTCTAACTGCTGAGCCAAACCGGCCAGGGCTACATTTCCAATTTTTATTACAGAAAATTTCAAGCATTCACAAAAATAGAGCGATTATAATGAATACCCGTGTACCCATTAGCGAGCTTCCACAATCACTTTGCCTTTCTTGTTTCACCAATGCAAATCCTGGGCATCGATTCCCTTCACCTGAAAATACGTCAGGAGGCATTTCATAAGGACAGGGGTATTTGTGGGTGTGTGTCTTTTTGTTTTTGTTTAACATGAGTACAGTGTTAATCATCAAAACAAAATTAACATTAATATCATCTAATACCCAGGCCCTATTCAATATTCTAATTGTTTCAGAATATCTTTTCCAGTTGGTTTGTTCAAATCAAGATCCAAACTGGGCTCATGCTCTGTATGTGGTTGCTTCTCCTAAGTCTCTTCTCCATAAGTTACCTTAAAAAATTTTTATTAAAAAGTATTTTTATTGATTTTAGAGAAGGAGAGGGAGAGAAAGAAACATCAATGTGAGAGAGAAACATCAATTGGTTGCCTTCTGCACACGCCTGGACCAGGGATAAAACTTACAACCCAGGGAGGTGCCCTTGACCATGAATCAAACTGGGACCTTCTGGTGCACAGAATGATGCTCTAACCACTGAACAGGGTGATATTTACCTTTAAAAAAATTATTTTAAAATTTATTTTAGAGAGAGAGAAAGGGAGAGGGAGAGAGAGATAGAAACATCGATGAGAGAGAACATTGACTGGCTGCCTCCTGCATGCCCCCACTGGGGATCAGGCTCACAACCTGGGCATGTGCCCTGACCGGGAATCGAACTGCGACCTCTTGGTGCATGGGTCGACGCCCAACCACTGAACCACACTGGCCGGGCGATTGTTACCTTTTTTTATACCATGTGTATCTTGGAGAAACTGGGCTATTCGGCTCCCCTCAGACAGGCTGTGTCTCTCCCTTCTTATGAGCCCCCACCACCACCACCTGAAGGACCTTATATCCTTTGACTACGCAAAAAATAAATACTAACACTGCACTTGCCGTATGCCAGGTGCTCTATGTATCATTTCGTTTAATCTCCACCACAGCCCTCAGGTACTTATATTGCCATTTCTCAGACGGGAAGACCGAGGCTCTCAGAGGCCCCGTTGCCAAGGTTCCGGGGCTGTGGTGCAGCCAGCGTTCCCTGGGTTTGACTCAGCAGTTACACTCCTGCCTCCCTCTCCCCCTCCCTCATTTCCATGTGGCTTTCCTTATTGCTCTACTTATGCACTGACTGACTAATGTTGGTTTTTCCAGGGAAACTCTGATGTGATTTTCCTGAGTCATGTGTAGCTTGTCTCAGTTGTGGGCTGGAACACAAGCCTTATCAAGACCCTTATGAGCACTGAGCCCTGAGCAGAGCGAAGCTTGCAGCCTGGGAAACACTCTGATATAAATAGCCAGCTTCCTACTAAGCAGCAATCTCTGCCTGGCTTTGTCTTAAGAGGGTGAGCAGGTCCTTAATCTGTGGTTGGACCCAGGGCGAGCACTGAATAACCAAGACAATGCTTCTGGGAAGACGGAGGGCTAGTTTCAGAGGTGTGACCCCAAGAGGCCCCAGGCCGGGGCCCCAGGGAAGCCCCAACCTCCAAACCAGGCCTGCGCTAGGGAGTCCCAGGCTGAGGGGAGACACAGCCTTCCCTGTAGAGACCAGAAGGGTGGCTTCTGCACGGGGGTCGGCAAGGTGAGGGGGAGATGGTGGCTGTCCAAAAGGCCAGCCTGCAGACTGAAGGCAGCTCGGAGCCTCTGCTGGCCTCAGCCCACAGAACTGCAGGCCTGACCCTCACTTCAGACACATGAGGCAGGTCTGCAGGCTTTCCACTTCCTGTGTGGCTTTGGGCAGGCCCTGCCCTGGGCCCACTTCCTCCTCTGCAGAACAACCCGGTGGTTTGCAAGGTCCCATGGAGATGGCCCTGCATGGGGAGGGGCCACCATTCTCTGAGGGCCTGGGTCAAGCCCCCTTGCACAGTCTCATTTAAACCTCCCATATCCGGCCCTGGACAGTTTGGCTCAGTGGTTACTGAGCGTTGGCCCTCAATCAGTCTCGGGGTTCAATTCTGGTTGAAGGGCACGTACCCTGATTGAGGTTTGTCCTGGGCCCTGGTTGGGTCATGCAGGAGGCAACCAGTTGATGTGGCTCTATCACATTGATGTTTCTGTCTCTCTCTCTCCCTTCCTCCCACTCTATCTCATGATAAATAGAAAAGTATCCTCGGGTGAGGAATAAAAAAATAACAAATAGACCTCCCACATCCCAACAGGGGGTGTGGTTACCCCCACCTCACAGTTCTGGGGAGATGAGTCCAATGCTGCTCCAAGTGTGAGATCTGCTCACAAGCGCAGTTGGGACTGCAGGCTGGCTCTTTCCAGACACTGGGGACGGCCCAGGTGGGGCACTGTGCTGCTGGGAGCGGGCTCAGGGCAGCCACAGGTCAGGGAGAGGGACGAACGTTGGAGGCGGGGTGCCCCAGTTGGGGTGCTGGGGCTGGCCTTGGGGTGGGGCCGCTGGCGTGCAGTCAGCAGGGTTGCGTGAGAACTGCTGCAGCAGCCGCTGTGGGCCCGCAGACGCCCACCAGTCCCCACCGCGGCTGGTGGGGTCCCTGCTGTCGCAGAAGGTGCTCACAGCTTTCTCGCAGCTGGCAGAGCCCATGCCACCCCTAAAAGGGCCTGTCCCAGCACTGTGGTGTGCCGCAGTCACACGGCTCCGGCTCCCCGCCGGCAGTGCGGGAGGGCTCCTGCTCTACACCCGCCCAGCCCCGGCCACAGCCACGCTTACTACGCGCCTTTGTACCCGGATCCCTTCAAACGCCCTACGTCACCTCCATTTAGCAGATGAGGGAGCTGAGGTCCGGAGGGTTAGGGAACTGGTGGAGGGAAGAACCGGAGTAAACCCAGGCAGACCTGCTCATGTCCCTGGACCGCCTGTGTACCCGGGGCCACCTGGTCCTTCCACAGCGGGTCCTGTCCATGGAGCAGAGGTCAGTGTAGAAATATGGTCACCATTACCCAGGCAGGGATGGTTCTGGAACCGAGGAGGCCATGTTGTTTGGAGATTTCTCAGTCTCAATCATACTGGACAGCAAAGGACGGTTCACTGAAAAGGAATCACAAATGGATTTTTGTAGTCTTGTTTTATGGAGTGCAAGTACGGACGACTTCCTGAACCTGAGTGTCATCCTTGCACAGGGGCCATGCTGGTCTCCCCTGTAGGTTCCAGGGTTAGGTACCTGCTGCGGAAGCCAGCACCACAGAGGGCTCTTCAACATATTGAGAAATAGGTACTAAACTACACACATGAGAAAATGGAAATCAAAATAACCTGAGCCCAGGCTGGTGTGGCTCAGTTGGTCTGCTGTCATCCCATGCACCGAAGGGTTGCCAATTTGACCCCCAGTTGGGGTGCATGCCCAGGGTTTGGGCTCGATCCTGTCGGGGTGTGCAGGAGGCAGCCAATTGATGTATCACGCTCATCTATGTTTCTCTCTCTCCCTCTCCCTTCCACTCAAGGAAAAAATTTTTAAAAATGTTTTGTTAATCCTCACCCAAGGATATTGTCTCCATTGATTTTTTAGAGAGAATAGAAGGGACGGAAGGAGGGGAAAGAGGGGAAGGCAGGGCGGGGGGCACTGATGTGAGACATCACTTGGTTGCCTCCTGCATGCACCCCAGTCGGGGCTGAGAAACAACCTGCAACCCTTGACCAGGAATTGAACCTGAGACCTTTTGGTGCATGGGCCCATACTCTAACCACTGAGCAACACCGGCTGGGGCAAAAAATCTTAAGAAAAAAAATCCTATTTTTTTAAAAGTATGTTTTTATTGATTTTTATAGAGAGAGAGGAAGGGAGAGACAGAAACATTGATGAGAGGGAAACATCGATCAACTGCCTCCTGCACGCCCCCCAATGGGGATTGAGCCCGCAACCTGAGCATGTGCCCTGACCTGGAATTGAACCGGACCTCTCAGTCCATGGGACTACGCTCAATCCGGCTGGGCATACTGTTTGTTTTTTTAAATTCTCACCTGAGGATATATTTTCTATTGCTTTTTAGAGATAGCGAGAGACATTTATGTGAGAGAGAAACGTTGATCAGTTGCCTCTCATACACACCCTAATTGGGGATTGAACCCACAAGCTTGGGTATGTGCCCTGACTAGGAATCAAACCCACAACATTTTGGTGTACAAGATGATGCTCCAACCAACTGAGCCACCTGGCCAGGACCCAAGATATTACCTCTCATGTATCAGCTTTCATTGATCTATCATCTATCAAACATGTGTGGGCTTGGCTATGGTGGCAGATTCTCTGTCATGCGTGGCTGGTGGGGTGTGACTACACAGCCCGAGAGAAAATACAGAAGGGGTCTGGTGTGACCACAGATGGACCCACCTCTGAGTTCCTAAGTCTCCTAGGAATTTACCCTCAAGATCCATGATAGGCAAGATGACCCACATCCATGTTTGCATTAACAGGAGACTGGGAGATCCCAATGTCCACCCTGGGGAACTGCACAGGACCCCATGATCCATCTGCACAGTGGGGACACTGTGCAGCTCACTGAAAACCCGAGAACACTCCCCACTGACAGATAAAATATCTCTAAGACATCACTAAGGGGGAAAATAACAGTTCAAGATAGTATGTATATAATGCTGCCACTTGGGGGAAAAAAAACAAACAGGAAGAATAAGAACATTTATAGAACCCGTGTTTGCTTGTCGCTGCGTGACGCCTTCCTGGAAGGACAGACAAGCTGACCATAGTGGAGGGACTGGATGCTCAGGACAAGAATGAAGGGGAGACTTTTCAATGCATGAAGATTTCATTTAGAAGCTAAATATGAACATCTATTTATATTTTCTTTATTTTTAATATTTATTTAATTTAGTGACTTTAGAGAGAGAGGAAGGAGGAGAGAGAAAGAAACACCGATTTGTTATTCCACTTAGTTACGCATTCATTGGTTGATTCTTGTATGTGCTCTGACTAGGGATCGAACCCACAACCTTGGCATAAGAGGACGGTCAACTGAGCTACACAGCCAGGGCAAACATCTTTTTTTAAGAGAATAATTATTATTTCAATGAACATTGTTGAAAACAATTTCTATTTTAAACAATTACAGGCTTTATATTCTTTTTTTAAAAAAATGTTTTTATTGTTTTAGAGAAAGAAGAAGAGAGATAGAAACATTGATGTGAGAGAGAAACATCGATCGGCTGCCTCCTGCACAGCCCCCATGGGGATTGAGCCCACAACCTGGGCATGTGCCCTGACCAGGAATTGAACCCCAGACCTCTCAGTCCATGGGACCACGCTCAATCCACTGAGCCACACCGGCCGTCCAGGCTTTATATTTTTGTGTTGTAAAAGTCTGGTACTGTTATGGAATGCATTGTTCATGTGCAACTTTAAAAAAAATCTTTTTTTTCCATTTCTTTTTATTATTTATTTATTTTCTTGATGAAAGTATTACAGAAGTACCCCTTTTCTCCCCATTAAAAAAGCATGTTTTAGCCCTGGCCTGTTTGGCTCAGCAGTCAGAGCAGTGGCTCAAGGACTGAAGGGTCTCAGGTTTGATCCCCAGTCAAAGGCATGTACCTGGGTTGCAGGTTCAATCCCTGGCCCCAATTGGGGTGGCGTGGGAGGCAACCAATCAATGTGTCTCTCTCACACGACTGGGTCTCTCTCACATTGATGTTTCTCTCCCTTTCTCTCCCTCCCCCCTTCCCTTTGACTGTCTCTGTATATCAATGGGAAAAATATCCTCGGGTGAGGGAAAAAACCCTTTTTTAAAAATCCTCACCCAAGGATATTTTTCGACTTATCTTCAGATAGAGTGGGAGAGAGGGAGGGAGAGAGAAACATCGATGTGAGAGAGACATATTGACTGGTTGCCTCCCACATGACCCTGACCCTGACCAGGGCCAGGGATGAACCACAACCGAGGTACGTGCCCTTGGCTGGAATCGAACCTGGGACCCCCTTGGTCCACAGGCCAACGCTCTAACTGCTGAGCCAAACCGGTCAGGGCTTCCAAAAACCTTTTTTACTCAAGATGACATGCACACAGTCAGGTGTGCAAGTCTTAAGTGTGCAGCTTGATAGATTTTGACATGTATGGACCTGCGTATCCTCCCTCAGGTTAGGTAGAGCATGCCCAGCCGCTTGATGGGGAGGGACCTTCCACTATAAAGATGTCTCCTCCTTTTGAATTCTGAGCACACCTGAACGTAGAGTGTGCTCTAACGAAACATACACATAAATATAGAAATGCAGAAGTTAAGTGGGCTGCATCCCTCAGGTGAGTAAGGGGCTCCCACCGAACTGGACGGAGTTCACGTGAATGGTGAGCAAACAGAGCACGGACTCTGCCTGTCTCGAGCATCATCCCCAGCACAGGCCCTGAAATGTCTGTTGAGAAGAAATGATCTGGCCAGAGGGGGTCTTAGTCCCCAGTGACCTGAAAGAAGGAGATGAAGCTGGAGCGAGGCCTGGGGCTAAAGTCTGATGGTCACAAAAGACTTGGCAGAGCCCTGTTCCTCAGTCACCACCTGTCTTGTTGCTCCTACCAGCCTGCCATGGTTCTAAGAAATCGTTGCATGCCCGGGGGATTGGATGACCTCTACATTCCCTATTTACTTGCTTCTTGGTTTATCATCTATCTTAACCCCCTAGAACATAAGCTCCAGGAAGGCAGGGGCATTGACTCTCCGGGGTCACTGCTCCACCCTCAGTGCCTAGAGCAGTGGCTGGCACATAGTTGGTGCATAGGAAATATTGAGAGAGCGAATAAATGGGTGAATGAATAATGTAGGCTGGGGATGGGAGGAACTGGCACCTGGTGAGAAGTCAGAAGCCCCTCAAGCTGTCTGTTTCTCCTGCAGTCGCATCAAGAGCAACGTGGATGGGCGGTACCTGGTGGATGGCGTCCCCTTCAGCTGCTGCAACCCCAGCTCTCCGCGGCCCTGCATCCAGTACCAGCTCACCAACAACTCGGCACACTACAGCTACGACCACCAGACGGAGGAGCTCAACCTGTGGGTGCGAGGCTGCAGGGCTGCCCTGCTGAGCTACTACAGCAGCCTCATGAACTCCATGGGTGCTGTCACGCTCCTCGTCTGGCTCCTTGAAGTAGGCTCCTGGCCTGGGAAGGGGTGAAGGGGGAAGGGAGCCACCTGCTCCATCTGGATTTGAAGGGGTGGAGCTGGGCCTGGAGCACATGCCTCCATCCTTGGAACCAGCCCTCCGCCTGGCTGTGAGTCAGGAAGGCCAAGGCTCGAACCCCAACACCTCCACTTTCCTTTTGTTTCTGTTTTATCGTTTAAAAATAATTTATTGAGGTGAAATACATAGAACATAAAACTCACTATTTTGAAGTGAGCAATTCAGTGGCACTTAGTACATTCACAATGTTGTGCAGCCAACACCCCCATCCAGTTCCCAAACACTTCCATCACCCCAAAGAAAACCTCATATGCATTATGCAGTCACTCCCCAACCCTCCAGCCCTGAGCCCCTGGCAGCCCCAATGGTCTGTCCTTGTGGATGTACCTCTTCTGGGCATTTCACAGAAATGGAATCATATGCTGGGAGACCTTTTATGTCTGGCTGCTTTCACTCTGCATGTTTTGGAGGTTCATCCTGTGCCTCCACTTTTTGGTCTGAGGTCTTGGAAAGTTACCTAACCTCTCTACTATATGGAGCTGACAGCACAGCTCTGGGACCACTGGGAGGCAACAGGAGAAACCAGGTGTGGGTGAGCATTCAATAAATGGGAGCTATTTGGATTCGTGCTTCTCTGGAGACGTTGGTCACCAATTACTTATTACTCTAATTATTTGTAGCTTCATCATATCTCAGCTGTAAGGCTTAATTCCTCTCTATAGCTAGAGCTTGGAATGTAGCAAACCCTCCGTGAATGCAGAATTCATTCATTGAGGAGATTTCACAAAGCTACTTTGCTCTGGGCGCTGTCCTGGGTGCTGAACGAGAGCGTGCGTTAGTGAGTGGTAGACCAAGGGGGCACAGAGGATGACTAGGGCTCCTACTTTGAGCTGGCAGCAGAAAATCCAGACTCCAAATTCCAAACACACAAAATCAGAAACATTAGTTGGGGAAACTTTCCATCAGAGAAAATTCACTGAAAGGTTCCTCCAAGTATGTCCCTCTCCTAGAGCTAGGGAAATTCTCATGTGGCTGTGCCCTTGGTTGATACCCCCCTTCTAACTCACCACACTACACTAGAGGGACTGTACTCCCTGGGGTGGGGTGGGGTGGAGGGAGGGCTTCTCTGAATGTTTAGGCAGAGACTTAGGGATGAGTGGGCAGAACCAGGAGAGAAGCTTCCTGCTAGAAGGCTGGAGTTCCACTGGCTGCCTCAGTGTAGCCACCCTTCCAGGAATCTGCATACTGTATGAGAACCAGCTCGCAGTGCACAGGGAGCTTGAACGCTCCCGACTTTTACTTGAGGCCTTTAGTGGGCAGAGCTTTGTGATGGGCATGAGGGTGGCTGGGCTAAGATAGGATTCTGCCCCGAGCCTTGTCCTCCCTGGCTTCACAACCCCGTTAGGAGATGACATCTAGCTCATAAACCTAAGGGGGAACCATTACCAAGTGCAAAACTCGTAGCGAAGCAGTGGGCCTCCTTCAGGAGAGCAGGAGGGGATCAGAGTGGGTACATACCCACCAGGAGGGCTTCCAGGAGAGTCTTTCCACTGTTAAAACTATTAAACTTTGAATTGACAATAACAAAAATTAAAACCTTGAAGTCTATTAGTTACTGTTATCATCATCTATTAAATTATAAAACGCCCCCAGAGCAGCCACTTTCAACCTTTTTCATCTCGTGGCGCACATAAACTAGTAATTACAAGTCTCCGGCACAGCCCTGGCCAGTTTGGCTCAGCGGTTAGAGCGTTGCCCCGAGGACCAAAGGGTCACAGGTTCTATTTCCAGTCTGGGTTGTACTGGGTTGTAGGCTCGATCCCCGGTCCGTCTGGAATCGTGTGGGAGGCAATCAATTGATGCACATCGGTGTTTCTCACTATCCTTCCCTCTCTCCCTCCCTCCCTTACACTCTACCTAAAAATTAATAGAAAAATATTCTCGGGTAAGGATTAACAAAATATAAACATCAAAAACATATTTTTTGCTGATCTTACACACACAAAAATAGGTATAATTTTGATTCATTCACACCACATGGTTGTTGTAGTGTTGGCTGTTGGCATTTTAAATTCGACAGTCTAAGGGAAAAGAGGTCAGTGCCCCTGACTAAACAGTCAGGTACTGCATGTTGTGAAAGCCCTTGTGGCTCACTGGCTGAAAATCACTGCCCCAGAGCATTTATTCAACAGATATTTACTGGGGCCCTCTCCTCAGCCAGTGCTGCGCTAGGGGCTGGGATACTGGGTGAACAGATGGATCGGGGCACCCTGTCCTCAGGGGGCGGCCGTTCTCCATCAGCAGGCCTCGCCCTCTCACAGAGCTGGCCACAACCTAAAAGTAAACGTGTAAGAGAGCGAACAGGACTTGGTGGAGAGATGGCGAACGGTACATTACTAGACGACTGAAAACATACTCACCGTGCTGACTAGTAACTGAGTACAGCTGGCACTCCTATGCATCCTCACTGCACCAGGTGCCACGTTCTACACACTGAAATATCAGCACACACCGGGCAGGCGACACTTCACCTGGAAATCCGCAAACCAGAAGAGCAGACAGAGGTTTCCTTGTCACATGGCTGGCTACGTGCGAGTTGGGATCTGAACCCAGGCATTTTGGTGCCAGTGTCTGCCCAGTGACTGCCAGTGAACAAATCCAAACAAATCACCCGCTCACCCCACATAACAGAAGATAACAGAAGTAGAGGAAACCACATAGCATACTGTTTTCAGAAAAGGACGTCACTTTTTAGTTCCTTCTAGTAAACAGTACTGAATACCCAGTATGTGCCAAGCATGTGCTAGGAACTGGGAGCGGGGCAGGGAGAAGGAGCCTGCCCCCAGGGCAGGAGAGGCCCGAGAGGAAGGGGAGGGAGAATGAGGAGCAGGGACACATGCAGAGGGCTGAAGCTGAACTAACAGGTGAATGTGGAGAGGAACAATGTTCTAGGCATAGAAAACAGCAAATGGCCCTGACCGGTTTGGTTCAGTGGTTAGAACTCGGCTCACGGACCAAAGAGTCCCAGGTTCGATTCTGGCCAAGAGCACATCCTCAGCCGGGGCTGGGGTGGTACAGGAGGCAACCAGTAGATGCGTCTCTCTCACATCGATATTTCTCCCTCTCTTCCTCCCTCTCTCCTTCCTGCTCTATCTGAAGATAAACAGAAAAATATCCTCAGGTGAGGATTAAAAAAAACCAAAAAACCAGCAAATGGCACAGAATGGGGAAGAGAATGGCTGGGGTGCAATGGGATCCCAAGAAGCACAGGGTGGCCAGTAAGGGAGAGGCGGGCAGAGGAGGCTGGACAGGGGCAGGTATCTTGAGTGCCCGGGCCAGGCTGGGGTAGGGAGGCCCTCACCAATCAGGCTCATCAGAGCCGCCTCCATGACAGACCAGTGGCTCCCACGGCTTCCCAGCAGCCACGACCCCCTGCTACTTGTTTCAGATCTCTAAGTCTCCTCTCCCCCCACCAGGTGACCGTCACGATTGGCCTGCGCTACCTACACACTGCACTGGAGAGCGTGTCCGACCCCGAAGAAGCAGAGGGCGAGAGTGAGGGCTGGCTGCTGGAGAAGAGCGTGCCGGAGACCTGGAAGGCCTTTCTGGAGAGCGTGAAAACGCTGGGCAAGAGCAACCAGGTGGAAGCCGAAGGCGCAGACACAGGCCAGGCCCCCGAGGCTGGCTGAGGGCCCCAGGTCCTCTCCCTCCCCAGCACTGAGTAGTGGACTCCAAGAAATGCGGATACCCCTCCTTGGCCAATCTGAGTCTCCCAAGGAGGGTGGCCATTTCACAGAGACTCTCCTTGATGGTGGGATTGAAAGTTTAGGGTTCCTGAAAGCATTTGGCAAACATTTGTTGACGGACTGACTCAAGATGTGAGTGAATGAGCCCCCTCAGGCCCACGGCTCCAGGGTATGGTCTCATGGTGGCCTCAGGGGTCTCGCAGTGGGTGACTACGCCCACAGCTCTCTCAGCACCCAGATTCAGGCCCACATTGAGGCCTGCTTCCCTCTGACGAGTTTGCCACTATGAGCTCCAAGTTGCTTCATTCTATATCCAAAGTGTCACTAGGTGTATAAGCATAGGAGTCTGAAAAAACGTACTGGCCCTGTTGTTGTTTTTTAAAAGATGCCAAGATGGACAGGTCAGCCATTTTCTTTGTTTAATGGCAGAAGGTGGGGGACACTTTATACTCTTCCAAGAGTAATGGACTCTCAAAAGCAGTGAGGGCTCAAAAGAGGAATTCTTCATTCACGGGGCAGGAGAGCTGAAGGACGAAGGGTTAGTACCTCCCACCACAAACGCAGCTAGAGGCCTGCCTTTCTGTATCTCACTCTCATGCCCTCCCTTGGCCAGGAACAGGCCATGGGTCGAGGAAGTCAAGTTGTTGGCACGTTCCAGCACCATCCCAACCCGAAAGGTCTGGGTGACCCCTCTGGCTCGTCTATGAAAGCACTGGGGGTTAGATGGATGCCCTTCTGTGGAAGAGGAGCGACAATCAGACAGAGTCCACCCTTTGGAGACCAGGCCTCACCTCGTGGTGGGCCCAGGGATGCCCACACAGGTGGCTGTGTCAGCCCCATGGACAACACTAACTGTCTACAGTGGAGGGCAGAGTCCTTTGGGAGCTTCTTCCTGTTTCTATCCCCAGACACCATCCTTCAAAGCAGTATTTCTGGAATGCCTCTGCATTAAAGAAGATTCTTCAAGACAGCCCATCTTCCTGAGCTAGCAACTGCAACAGAAGTTTTCAGTTCCTTCAGGAAAAAGAGAGAAAGGAAGCTTGTTTAGTTGCAGGAGAGAATGACTTCATTGCCATCCTGAGTTTTCAGTGTGGAGAAAACATGGCTTTTGGTGCTGCCGGGGGTTTGTTCTGGGCTCTAACTGTCCCAGGCTTACGGCCCATCAAAGATGTTCGGACACTGTCAGACTTTGGTCCCAGGTTTAATTTGACTTCTGAGTCTCCTTGAGACCAAGGAATGGTCCACACTGAGAAGCTGAGGCAGTCGGCCACCTGACGAGGGTCCCAGAGCCTTCTTCCCTCTCGGGAGTGCAAAGAACCATCGTGAACATGCTGCTCTAGGCCAGAAGTGTAACTGCTGTACAATAGACATTAAAACTTATGTTGTATGAAAACCACTTTTGTGTATAGTATGAAAACGCCAGTCTTAGCCTAGTCAACAGCATGTATCACAGGATCCCAAACTCGACCTACTATTTGCTAACAAAGCCAAACCTGACACTAAAAGGGAGCATGGAAGTCACCTATCTCAGCATTTTGCTAGATTCTTGACCAGAGCTGACTTTATCTAATATTTTAGTATGTGGTATCTTATTTTAGTGATTTAAGCAACAATTCCAAAGCATCTTTCCCTCTGCTCTGGTCAAAACATATTTCCCCCAACCTCGATAAGGCCAGGTTATAGGGCAAATACAGGCAACCTCAGGATCTGAGGACCAAGGACTAACCGACCCTCCAATAATTACCACCAGTTGGTTCAGAGAAGACTTAGGGTGAGCTGCATTTTAACAGGTCTTCTCAGGAAGCCTTAGTTGCCAGAGAAAGCCAGCCCATCTCTTGGTCATTGACCAGTGCCCAGCAGGACTCCGGTGCCAGGTTCTTCCTTGTGTCTAACCTCAGTCTTTCCTTGGGCCAGTGCAAATTCATTTCACCCAAGGGACTCCAAGTTTTCAAAGTCCTGCCAGCCTAGCCCTGGGACAGGGTGAGAGGTAAAGACAGGACCTTAGGACTTTTATTCTGAACATTTAGGAAGGTGGGTGTCCTAGAATTTGTGGACTCGGCTCAGTAACTCATAGCTTCTTGCAACACTTTCAAACCTGGGACTGAGCCATCAGCAAATAAACTGAGTAACCTCAATACGTGTTAATAAGATTAGCTGCTTGCTCGGCACACTACCCTGCCCCTCCTCTCTGGGCACCTGCATTGCGAGGCCAGAAGGTTTGCAGCTTAGCCTGGGGCAGGGGGGCACCAAGGCAGTTAAGGCCTCTGACCTGCTACTAGATAAAAAGAGGGCTCCTGATGACAGCTCGGCCAGCCAGTGTCACTGTGTGTTAGGAACAGGAACATGGGGAAGTAATGGGAGTCCAGGGAGGGGGGTACCTTCCCCGTCCTCAGTGGACTGGAGATTGGCTTGAAGGGAGGACACAGCAGTCCTTCACTCCTGAGAGTACTCCAAACAGAGGAAGAGTATACACAGCAAAGATAAAGAGAATATTATACAAGGATGGTGTACAGTGGGTAAAAACATAAAGGGGAATTCCTATTTACCCAAGGGGAATGAAAACTTAGGTCTACAAAAACCTGTGCATGAATGTTTATAGTAGCTTTATTTACAGTCACCAGAAATTGCCCAAATGTCCTTCACCTGGTAACTGCACAAGCACCATCCAGAGATGTGAGCACCCAAAGATTCAGGATGCATGTGCTGCTACTTCATGTAAATTCATCTGCTGCATGTGCACAGTGGAGTACGACTCGGTGACCAAAGGAAACATGGGTGATGCTCAAATGCATGCCTTTGTGAGAGAAGCAGACTCAAATGGCTACACAAGATATTTATATAACAAGAAGCAAGACAAAAGGATGGAAAAAAATTAGTGGTTGCTAAGGATCAGGATGGGGGAGGTGATCACAAAGGAGCATGAAAGCTTGGGTGATGGAACTTTTCTATTTCTTAACTGTGGAGGTTGTTAAAAAACCCCGACCTGAAAATCAAGGGTAGGGACAGAGCGAAGAGTGTGTCAGAGGCTTCGTGAGCCCTGGAACTGACGGCTTTAGGACCAGGGGAAGGAGGAAGCTGAAAGCAGTATTAATGACCACGGGACAGCACAATGGAAACCTGCTTTTTCAGTGCAGTGCTTTCTTTTGAAGAGATTTTAAAAAGCGCAGCAGAGCCCTGGCCGGTTTGCCTCAGTGGTTAGAGCACTGGCCCATGGACCAAAGAGTGTTGGGTTCGATTCCGGTCAAGGGCACATATCTCGGTCCCCAGCCCTGGTCGGAGTCGTGCAGGAGGCAACCAGTCGATGTCTCTTTCGAATCGATGTTCTGCTCTCTCTCTCTCTCTCTCCCCTTCCGCCCTCCCACTCTGTCTGAAAATAAATGGAAAAATATCTTTGGGTGAGGATTTAATAATAAAAAAAGTACAGAAGAGCTCTCATAGGCAATGCCTCCCCTGCAAATACAGAATGCAGCTCCCCTCCTACATGCCCCTCTTATAAGCAGAAAGTGTCTGGGGAGAGTGTAAGAACAAGTACTGGGATCAGGTAAGGATGAACAAGAAGAATTTTCACCTGGAGACAGGTCTCGAAGCTGGGAGAGACTCTCGAAGCTGGGAGAGACTCTGAGTGCCTTGTTTTCCAGTGATGAGGTCCATAATGGTTCAGAAAGGTCACCAACTGTCATAGCCAATTAATAGGAAACTTAATCAGCTAAAATGATGATCAAGCTTTCTATGGGAAGGTCAAGATCATTTGGCTAATGGCCATAATTGACACTAAGAATATAAGCATCTTAAATTTCAAGCTAATACAGATGTCCCACTTTATTTGTAGCAAGGTGACATGGGGAACACTTTCATGGTATTTAAGTGTGTGAAACAAAAGAAAATGTAGACAGACCCAAAGTAATGTTGACACCTAAAGCATTTATTTGGATATCTTTAAACTTTTTACATATGATACATTCCAAATTTTACAAGTTTTCCACAGATATTAAAGTTATAGCCAATTTTATTAAACAGATATGATTTTCCCTGATATAGAAAGCATGTTACATAAACATTTCCACAATAAACATAATACATGCGGAACAAATCATAAAACTAAGATGGTTCATTAGGTAGGGAAGACAATTAGCTTAATGATGCAAACACTATTTCATCTTCTAAATTTATCTTCTCTCAGAGCCTGACGTTCTCAGAGCCTGAAATGCAGGATGACACCCTCAGTCCTGAAAGCTGGAAAACACTTATGATTTGGTGAAAATATCCATAATCCATTTATGAGGGAGAGACCAGGCCTGGTCTTTATCACTTTAAATTTAATCTTGGTGAACATTATTGAGAAAAGTCAAAAGAAGCTGGACTTAAAAGCTAAAGGAACAGGGATGTGACCAAAGCCAAACAAACATTAAAATCATTATGCCATCCATCCACAGTCCAAACCACCAGATCTTACCAACGGCAAAAAGGACAGAAAAGGGGGAGCGCACTGGGTTCTAATTTGATTTTCTTCCTGTTGGGTGAGAAACACCTCCTCAGTTGGGCGAGCCAGTCCCAAGCAAGAAGGGTCAAGGTCATCCTTTCAGAAGACGACCTTAGAGAGGAAGCAGTGAATGCAGCTTCTGCATCCTTATTTTAGCCTGAAGCCTGGATTTCTGACCGTCCTCCTGGGTGTACTGTGGAGTGCGCAAAGCTGAGTGCAATGGAACTTTTAGATGCAGTTCAAAGAAAATCGAGGGAAAGGGTTACTTGCATTGGCTGAAAAAATCCAAGAGCCTCTCACTATGCATTAGGCTCCGAATTATTCCTCCACGAAATCGGCCATCATCTGTATATCCAAGCACTCAGCCCACATACATCAAACCAGAGTGGCTGTGTGGTACATAATTGTTATAATCAATTTTACTAAGCGGCTATCATTCTAGGAAGGCACCTCTTAGTAAAAACAATGGTATTGAAAAAGAATAAGAAGCCTGGGCGCACAGGCTGTCCCAGGAATGGACTAAGTGAGCCAGCATGTAAACAGCAATCCATCTTTCCAGGAAGTATGAGCAGGTTGGGGTGCAGGAACGTCAAAACAGTCTTTTTTTTTTGCTAGTTTTTGATTCTAGATGCATACACTTCT